TCAGAGGCGAACCCCTCATTTTCCACCGAAAAATAAACCCAAAATTATAAATCTGACAGACACATACAAATAATGAAACAGCGGAGGTGAATATGGTGCCTTGCCACCCCACCTTTCGGTTACCGAAAAATAATGGTCACTCCTCTTGTGTGTTTGCTTTTCACGTATGCATGTTACATGTAGTTGGCTACTCTTGTAACACATACACTTTCTATTTTAAGCTTAACTTCTTTTCAGATGTCATTCAAGAGCGTCTAGCCGTCTACTAATTTCAAAAAATCTCAAATGAAAGGGGACACCCCTCCCAAATCCCATGATCAATCATTTCAAACCCATGATCAATAATTTAAAAAGTCAGGAAGATGCCTGAAATTTGTTTAAATGAACTGCATAAGCGACCCAGGTTTTAACGAGTGTGCTGTACAACCGGTACTCTATCCTTGCCCACAAACATCTGAATTACTTACAATACACGACTCGAGTGCGCGTGTCTTTATTATAATTTGAGAAGTAGGAAAAAGAAGCGTGTAATACTAATAATAATAAGATTGGTTTTCGGCAGAGAATAGGTAAAGTAAGTTAAAAATACATCAGACAGTTGAGTTTATTTTCAATGAAACATCACATCGATTATAGATCGATGATGATTTCCGGCATTCTAGATGTACTATTTCCAAAAAATATTCCCACCTCAGCCCTTAACTATGTTATGGACTAAAGTAGGTAGGCCTAAAGTAGTACAGTATATCAAAGATAATGTTTTCAATTTTTATTTTCTATAGTACATCACACATTAATTAGTTATCTATGGTGATAAAACATCATGAGAAATTTGTCGGCGCTTCATTTTGACTATACATGACGATGAATTTTACTATATAAAAGTGTCATTTCCGGTCATCTAGAGAGCTACTATTTCCTAAACTTTTCGCATCTCAGCCTCACACATGGTGGGCCTGAGTTGGGTGTGAACTTACGAAATGTCCCCCACATATATTACATAAACAACTGAAAATTAATAATTAATCTAATAACATAAATTAAGGCCTTCTTGATTTGATACCATTGCCACCATGGGCATCTATCCTATAACGTTTTAATGATAGGATATGCGGATAATATTAAAACTACAGATATATACGGGTCGTAATAATATATGTAAGGAATAAATCGTTTATGAAATCGTGCATATTTGAGTTTGTAAAAAGTTGGCCTAATAGGTTCACACCCC